GGGGGGAGGGAGGAAGAGCTGAAGATTGGGGGAGGGGCCCATAAAAACGGTGGGAGGGCAGGCCCCATGGGCCCCGCAGTAGCTACGGGCCTGAGCTGCTCCCAGGCGATCCCCAGGTCCCGCCTGGATGCTGGCGTCTCTATCTGCCCCCTTATCCTTTTAAGGTATTCCCTTCCCCTTACTTTCCTAGCTGAAACGTCATGTAGCTTTGCATAGCAGCTCAGCTTGGAAGAGAAAAGAGTGGGGGGGGGGCCCTCCAGCAAACTCAGCAAAGGGGGCAGACAGGGTTTGGGGTAGGGAGGCCTGCCTCCAAGCGGAATTACAGCTCACCTCCAGGCTACAGAGGTCAGTTCCCTTGGAGAAAATGGGATGTTTGGAGGGTGGGAATCGTGGCTTTGTACCCCACGGAGGTCCCTGTCCTCCCCGGGCTCCATCCCCAAATCTCCAGGAATTTCCCAGCCTGACAACCCTACAGTGCGGACAGAAACAGCACATCACTTCTGCTTCCATTGCACTTTCCACGGCTGCGGCCACCAGAGCGAGATTTCCCCACTCCGCCGTGGAAGCCTCCTAAGTCAGCCGTGGTGTGTAACTGGAAACAAGGTCGTGTGGCACAGCTCTGTGTGTGCGTACAGAATTTCCCCTTCACAGCACCCTGTCTGCTAATGACAGCGGCGTCATCTGTAGCACAGGATTGCCTTCAGGAGTTAGGAGTAGAGCTCTTTCCCATCCAAGCAAAGGCACCAAGGGAAGAACCTCTGGTTTCTCATCTCCCGTAAAGCCCCGCTGCTTATTGCCAAAGCCAAAAAATCATTTGAAACACAGAGCCTAGCATTTCGTAATGGCTACAATATGCTGTAAGGCTCCGGCAGAAAATGGGAAAGGAGCTTCAGTAAATAGACACGGGGCTTTTTCAAATTGATTTTAAATGGGCCGTGGTGAAAATTGACTGGGGAATCTGTCAATGGCTTTACTTTGAGGATGCATTAGCAGTATGTAGGTCTAAATCGGGACCTTCCCCAAGTCACCGCGCTGTAAGACGAGAAGCATCATGTTATAACACATTAAAAGCGTCTCTCCATCTTAACTTCAGGAATGAAGACGTCAGACGTCCAAATGTCCTATTTGGTATATTTTCATTCTGCCCTTCCTCTAGGTTGCTCAGGGTGGCATATGTCAGTTCCCCTCTCTTCCATTTCACCCAACGACCCTGGAAGGTAGGTAAGGCTGGGAGAGAGAGAGTGGCCCAAGGTCACCCAGCAAACTCCCATGGCAGAGTCATAATTCAAATGTGGGTCTCCAAGATCCTAGTCTAGCATTCTAACCATGACGCCTCACTGGCTCTCATGAGGCACAGTTTCTGGAATCATGAGCATCTAGAGCCACATCTTTAGCACTCTAGTCATCCTTACATTTATGATGCATTAGCATATATGAAAGAGCCAGTTTGGGGTAGTGGTTAAGAATGCTGGACTCTAATCTGGGAGAACCGGGTTCAATTCCCCACTCCTCCTCATGCAGACAGCTGGGTGACCTCACAGTTCTCGCAGAGCTGTTCTCTCAAGAGCAGTCCTCGAAAGAGCTCTCTCAGCCCCACCTGCCTCACAGGGTGTCTGTTGTGGGGAGAGGAAGGGAAAGGAGATTGGAAGCTGCTCTGAGACTCCAAGTGAAGGAGTCTTCTTCTTCTTCTTCTTCTGTCTTTATCTGTAGGAAGCCATTTTAAAGGCGACTTTCGTACTTTAAGAACATATGAGTATTGAAGAACTGACTGTGGTGGAATTTTAATGTTTGATAAACACAACATGTCATTATAGAATAACGTGGGGATGCCAGCCTCCAGGAGGGACCTGGGGATCCCCCAAAATTGCAGCTCATCCCCAGACTACAGAGATCAGTTCCCTTGGAGAAAATGGAGGGTGGGCTGTATAACATTCTGCCTCAATGAGGTCCTTGTCCTCCCCAGGCTCCATCCCCAAATCTCCAGGAATTCCCCACCCTGAAGCTGGCAACATTATCTACCCCCCCACCAGTGGCCAGGGATGACCTGACAACCCTAGAATGACATCCTGTCACATTCTTCACGTTATTGTCACTATTACACAAATGACATCATCCTCTCCAGAGGATACATAACATGTCTCATCTCTCTCCGTTTCACCCTGTTCCCATTCTTGCAGTAAAAACATGCTGTTGATCCAATAGGGAGATTCTAGTACAATGTTGTCATGCAAGGACTCGTTGGTACCCTATGCCCCTCCCCATTCAGACAAGCCTCTTGAAGGATGTGCCCCTCACACAGAATGTCCACAGTGAGAGTTGCTAACCTCCAGGTGAGGCCTGGAGATCTCTCAGAACTACAACTACTCTCTAGACTGTAGAGGTCAGTTCCCTTGGAGAAAATGGCTGCTCTGGAGGGTAGATTTGATGGCCTTATAAACTGCTGGGGTCTCTACTCTCCCGAAACCCTGCCCTCCACAGGCTTCACCCCCCCCCCAATCTCTAGGAATTTCCCAATTTGGAATTGGCAATCCTATCCACAGGATCAGAAATGTAAGACCCCCTCCATGATGTACACAAACAGGGCTATTTTGGGGCAGGAATGCACAGGAATGGAGTTCCGGCTGGCTCCTGAGTTGGCCAAACCCAGCAGGAACTCATTAGCATAATAGGCCACACCCAACAGCAGAAACTCAGTAGGATTGGCTACATTAGGGGTGTGTGGCCTAACATGCAAAGGAGTCCCTGCTACAAAAAAGCCCTGGGTTTTGACAACAAGCAAGGTAAGCAGAATAAGAAGCAAAAGGTGGGTGTGGCTGGATGAGCACACTTCTGGTAACATGGGGGTGTGGCCTAATATGCCAATGAGCTGTGCTGTCATGGGTGTGGCCTAATATGCTAATGTGTTTCAGCTGTTGGGTGTGGCCTATTATGCTAATGAGTTCCTGCTGGGCTTTATCTACAAAAAGAGCCCTGTGGGGAAGAGGAAAACAACAGTAGTTGTCATCTGCAAGTCCATAGTCTTTCTGAGGGAATCCTAAATCCCCAGAGAACCACACTGCGATGATTTTTTTATTCCTAATTCTGGCTTTCTTTTTCCTCTAGAGTTATTTCACATAATCAACTCTTCAGTGAAGCTCACGCCCAGCCATTTTAGAAGCTACAGAAGTGACTTACCGGGAGGCGAATCAGTCATAATGACTAGTGAAGCTGGCGTAGGCCTTCTTTTCCTGATCTGTGGGAAACACAGGCCCAAAGAGACTTGTTAAAAACAGCTACAACCAAAGTCAATGGCACATTGCTGAGCAGTTCTATTATAGCTCATGTTGATCATCAAAAAAAGCACTTTCAGACAGCACTCAAACTACCCACTGCTTTTAAGATCAGCCATCACCCTTACATTTATGGTTACCATCCACAAGTGGCAGTAGGGATGGGCACGAACTGGGGAGATGTGGTTTGGTTCAGTTCAAGGTCCATGGTGTTCCCAGTTCATGAACCATGAACCATGAACCATCACGAACTTATGGCAGTGTTGGATCCCCAAGCATCGAGAATAAATCCACGTTTTCAAGAAAAGCAAAATTTATTTCAAAGCGTTGAAGACATACTCAAACACGTTCTTTGTTAGAACTGGGGTTACACAGATAGGTCAAGCATAATAAAGGAAATTCAAACAGATACAGATCCAATGAATAGCATTCCCGCTGGCGGGCTAATGGGCAGCCAAACAAAGTGGTTCAGTGTCTGAGGTTCGTTATGTGGTAGAATGGCCCCCTGGGTGTGCTAGATCCACCAAACTTGCAAGGGATCTCTGGCTGACTCTCTTCTACCTGCCTTCCAAGTTTGGTGAGGATTAGATTTATGGGATCTGAATTACACCCCCCCCCCAAGAAGGTGTACCTTCTTCGGGGGGGGGGGGATAACGCAGACCCTGTAAATCCAATCCTCACCAAACTTGGAGGGGGGGTAGAGGAGAGTCCGTTGGAAATCTCTTGTGAGTTTGGTGTCTGTAGCTTGCACAGGATTTGTTCTAGACACTCCTGAACCTCCTAGGTCTGCACCTGTTAAAATGACCACAGGTTCAGGAGGTTTAGGAGTGTATAGAACAGCTAAAGATATCGAAGTCACATGGGACCTCCCTCAGATGCTTCCCTACATGCCCTCCAAGTTCTACCTCCCCTATTGCATTGAAGTTTTGTAAACATTTAGACTGAGCAGAGACAATCTGTCTGGAAATGTATCCGTTCACAGACCACCACAAACAGCTGATAATTTGTGGGAAGTTCATGCCGGTTGACGTACCACAAATTTAACGAACTGGCCCAAAAACACCACAAACTTTAGTTCGTTACCCAGTTCATGCCCATCCCTAAATGGCAGCATACTTAAAAATACTTAAGCATACTTGGGTCCCTGCCACACGGCAGGGAAAACACCGGTCAAAGTGCAACTAATTAGAGCCGCACCAAAATAGAGACGCTGCGGGCGGGATCCCATGGATCCCGTGAGCCACGCGCCGTTGCTCCCTGGCACGATCAGATGCCAGGGAGGAAGAGACGAGGGGGAGGGGGAGGCTGCCAAACTGCGCATGTGTGAGCATGTGCAGTTCGGCCGGGGGCTGGGGATGCGCCGGCGGCAAGATGCGATCCCACGGCCAGCCATGATGCAGACCTACTGGATGAGCCACCTAGGTAGGTGGTTTGTGTTTGCTGCGGGGCTGTCGGGGGAAGGGCCGGATCGGGAACGGGCCGCAACTCTTCCCAGATGTTGCGGTGGGATTGCGCCCGTTTGCTGCGCCCCCGATCCGGCCCACTCCCGACCCAAAACCCCTCGTGAGAACAGGGCCCTTGGTATACTTTGTACTAAGTGTAGAAAGGCTAGGACTGGATATTCAGTGCCAATTGGGGTGACAGGTATTCTGCTATGGTGGGAGACAACGTTGCCCACCAGTGCCTCAAAGGCCAGCATGGGGAAAATAGACGAAAATGGGCTGGGCATGGTGGCATTGTGCTGGTGTAGGATATCACTTCTGGCAAAAACCAGTTTAAGCATAAAATTTTGGTGAATCCTAGAGTGCTCCCCTCCCACATCATGACATCCCTTTTGGGTTTTTTTGCTAGAAGTGGTGTCGTGCACCAGGATGATACTGGTGTACCTGTCTCCACCCCCCAGTCCTTCTGGGGGTGCCAAGTGATGGCGTGGAACCCCTACTGCCACTTCAACCATACCACTGGCATAAACTAAAGGACACGAGAGTTAACGGGTTTGGATCCCACAAACTTCATCACTCAGTCGCATCTAGAGTTGCCAGCTCTGGGTTGGAAAATACCTGGAAATTGGGGGGGGGGGTTGAGGGGGAGTTAAATGGAGGGACTTCAATGGGGTATAATGGCATAGAGGGCCAGTTTGGTCTAGTGGTTAAGTGTGCGGACTCTAATCTGGGAGAACCGGGTTTGATTCCCCACTCCTCCACTTGAACCTGCTGGATGACCCAGGTACAGGCTCTCCCTCCTCTGTGAGGGCAGATCTGCGTGGCAGCGTCCCCCCCCCCAATAGATAGCAATCCAAAACAGTCCAGTGGAGCCTGAGCGGTGGGTGTTGCCTTCTGACACACTTCCGGTGATGCCAATGAGTTTTGATAATGAGCTCCTCCACCTCTTTTTCTACGAAATGACCCCTGCTGGCAACCCTAGTTTCACCCACATGGGTTTTGTTCATGCAGGTCCCACGAACCCCAGCATAGACTTTTTAGTGGCCAAAGGGAACTCTCTCCTCCCATTTCCACCAGTGGAGAAGCTGGTTGGATTCAACCCAGGGGTCAAATCCAGATTCTTGTGCTGTTTCCAGCGTGGCTGGCTGTATTGACTAGCTGTGCGTCCCACAATCCTTAGCAAGATTACTGGAAATTCTAAACGGTACTTTCAGTTTTCATGGGAATTACTCAAGATTATCCTGGATAAGAAATAATTCTTTGTCTTCTTGGTCAGCTCCAGCTGCCCATTAAATCTTGGCCTCCAGTTCGCCAGCCCCAAACCTAATGATGCCATTAGAGAAACTTTCACTTCAGAACACCTCTTTCTGTAAGCATTTTTCTCCTCCTGTTATATTTGTCGGTCTTCCAAGTTTCTTTTTCTAAGATGTATGCTCAGTGATTACACTTTAATAAAACAAATTACTTTCAACGTTGGTCATTGTTTTGGCTTTGCGCAACTATTGAGTAAAAAAACCCCTGCAGATAGTACATAACCGGGGTCAGATCTGCTCACGAAACATTAGTATAATAGAACTGTTGAAAAACATTCATTCGCTTTTTGATGAAATTCTTATAAGTCTAACCAATCAGCTTGTCAGGATCCAAAGAACTAATTCCATGAGCACAAAAGGCATTCAGAATGTTTCCTCCCCTGCTTTTGTACGACACGGCAAACTTCTTTGGAATCTTTGGACGTGCTTTGAAAATATTTTGTGATTTGGCATGGGTGTTTTATTTAAGAGAAGCCATCAAAAACCCTTCTGAGTTGGTCCAAACCCTTGCTGTGAGCCTCAGCAGCTCTCTGGAACCCCTCCTGCAATACCAATTTAACCATCAAATAACAACGGCCTTGTTAAAATGCCTGGTTCTGGCTCCAGTGATCTGTGTATCCTCTCCTTGGCATTCATTACTGGTGAAGAAAGGGTTTGATCATTGGGTGATAAAGATATTCTGTCTTAAATATCCTGTCTGCTATTGGGGACATTGGATGCTATGGAAGATATGTACAGAAAACTATATGACAGTACAGGGCCTTGGTTGTAACAATTTTGATGTCTATAAACCATGAGAGCAATCAAGCAGGATAGCTCATGCACCGTGGTACTTAATGATGGGCAGAAATACTTTAGAAGAAGAAGAAGAAGAGATTGGATTTATACCCCGCCCTTCACTACCCAAAGGTGTCTCAGAGTGGCTTACAAACTCCTTTCCCTTCCCCTCCCCACAACAGACACCCTGTGAGGTGGGTGGGGCTGAGAGAGCTCTGACAGAAACTGCTCTTTTTCAAGGACAGCTGTGCCAGAGTTTGTGACTGACCCAAGGTCACATCAGCAGGTGCAAGTGGAGGAGTGGGGAATCAAACCCGGTTCTCCCAGATTAGAGTCCGCACACTTAACCACTACACCAAACTGGCGGTGGGTGTTGCTATTGTAGGCATGGTCCTTTCTGGTTTTAATTGGGAACATGGTTCTCGTAATGAAACATTTCCTTCTTCTGAAGATGTCACATTCAGCAAAACGCTTTATTTATGATTATCTCGCTCTCCAGAAAATCCTTGGCATATGCCCTCAGCACCCTAGGTCATTCTATGGCTACCAATATCAGCCGGTCTCTTCCTGGCAAAGGCTGTTCTGTCCTGCAGACTATTTTCAATAGAAGACAAATGATCTACAAAACCCTGTAATGCATGTATGACCAAGTACTGTCAGTGATCTTTCAGAAACAGGGACATATAAGGCTAGACTGAGTGATGGACGCCAAAAAAAACAGATCTCCCCTTATACTTTCAAGATGTGAGCATTCTTATGATAAAGCATAGATGCATTAGATTACATACTTTCAAAAATTCAGTTTACAATACATTGTGAAATGTGGGTAAACACACAAAATTATATATTTTCTCTTAGAACTCCCATTACACTTTCAAGATGCGAGCATTCTTATGATAAAGCATACATGCATTAGATTGCATGTTTTCAGAAATTCAGTTTGCAATATATTGTGAAATGGGGTTAAACGTACAAAATTATATATATGCTTTTAGATCTTACGTTATACTTTCAAGATTTCAGCATTCTTATGATAAAGCATACATGCGCTAGATTACATGCTTTCGAAAATTCAGTGTACAATATATTGTGAAATGTGGGTAAACACACAAAATTACGTCTATGCTCCTATTTTTTCCCTCAACATCTTTTGTCAAGTTTGAGGGCATTCAGCTGCTTTCAGAGTGAAATGTGGGTAAACACACAAAATTACATTCAGCTGCTTTCACATAAAAACTCCTGCCCTTCTCCCAAATGGCAATTACACTTCCCTGAATTCCTTACGCATGTACACGGTACACTGATATCTCTTCTTTATTTTTGACATTCACCCAACTATATTTTTAGACTGAATCATTTTTTTTAAAAAAAATGCATAGAGCAGTAGTGGTAAAACAGCAGAGTTATCGCTACAGCAAGTTGTCCATTCTAAAAAGGAAAACCAATATTTGCTCAAGGGGGGGGGGGAAGCGCATACATCCCAAAGAGA